GTATTCTGTATAAACTTTATATTTTGCTTCCTCAGCCTTTCGTTGTAGCTGCGCTCTTTCAGTGGGAGAAGTTTCAATAATTAAGATTATTCGCTAACATAAATGTCAAATTAAACACAGACTCCTAACACTTAATCCACTGTCTGATATTTCTATTTTGAAGGTTTTTATTTGTCCGTTTACCAAAGTAACTACCTGGTTTGCTGCTTCCTGTCTGGTGCTGGTGAGAAACCAGAGTCTGCTTCCACAAAGCTGTGGCTCGTCACATCTGATACCAACAGATATTCAACCTGCTAGAACTCCAAACACACACATTTATGGAAGCTTTTCTGTCAAAATAAAAGTCAGACAGCATTTATTCTTTTACCACACACTCTAAAACAAAGTGTTTATGTAATTAAAATGACAGATATTTACAAAGGTGGGAAATAAAGCTGGAACCAGCTTCACTGTCTTCCCAGAGGACACAGCTGTTTCTCACTGATGTTCACTAAGATCTGACAGCGAATTACTCTCGAGGACTCTGCTCTTTGTTAGCTTATTCATTCCCTTTCATCCCCCTTTATCCTCTGTCTTGTGGCTTGTGCCTTTCACACAGCTGACAACAAGTCGACTCTGGGGTTGGGTTTTTTTTAGTATGCACAGAGTCATACTAGTTGGGTCAGACGATGCCTCCTCTCCTCCTACAAAACCGAGAGTGTCAGCACTGCAGCACAATGGAAAATGCCCACTTGAGCTAGTTTCCCCTAAACAGGATTTCAAAACTGATCTGCTGTCAGTCGGTCGGCATTAAATTTGGCTGCATTTGCATCTGCTTCACACACACTGTGCTGCTGATGTGCAGCAAAATCCTTCCATTTTTCAGGGTATGTAGGACGCTACATACTATAAAACCCTCAATCTTAACCTTGGTCCGCCGCTCGAGAGGGAGAAAGTGGTCACAGAATAACAAGGTCGGCACTGAGACTGGAACAGGAGTCAGACACAAACATCCACAGCTCTCCTCAGTCAGTCTGCCAGGAGTAATTGCTCCACTGTTTCTGGCTGAAAACGAGGAGCCTGCTTTTGTGTACCACAGTCTGAAATCACTGTTTCCACAATGAGGGACAAATCTGTCCATGTTACCGTCGTGAGCATGATGGAGTGATGGGAGTGCAGGGTTTAGTGAATGCTCCATTTTAATATTGTTTTTTTGGATTGAATGGAGGAAGAATATAAAACACCACCAGACACCAGATCATTTATTTCAAACTACAGTTGTTCTGCCTAAAATGCAGTTAGTCTTTGCTCTGATCCGATACCACGTCGGTCGTTAGCCACGCCATTTCTTTTCCAGGTTGACAAAGTCGTGACTGATTGGTTTAATCTGATATTCTCACCCTAACCTTAAACAATCAAATCTTTCCAAACCAAGGAAGTCAACAAGTGTTAGCCAATCAGAGGCACAGGAACCACTCACTGGGTACTGGCAACTACTGTTTTAAAGTGGAGAAGAAGATTTTATTTCCAGTAGTGTAATGTTAGCCAGAGCTAGCTAACAATGGCTAAATGTCAGCAAATAGTCTGACTCTCAAACTAGATGATAAAATAAAGTTAATTCCCTATGTGTAAGGGTTTGATCCAACCATTCAAGGAAGAGCGCCACAGTAGCCGAACTGACACGCACTTTACCCGATAACTGACCTCATCAAAGTACATCAAAGAATAAATCAAAAAAATACATCAAAGTATAATTTATTTCTTTATTTCAGACCGCCGTTATTATAACAGACAGTTGTTGTTGTTGTTCATGTAGTTGTTGTTTTTTGTTCCCTTTTGATTTCATTGTTGATGAGGTAATGTTTATTTATGTGGACCCCAGGAAGAGCAGCTCCTACTCTGGTAGTGACTAATAGGAATCCAAATCAATCAATAAATACATAAATAAAACCGATTCAAGGCCGTAACCGACCTCTTCATGCGTGTCCCTGCTGAGAGGAAGTGAAGTGTTATTATATTACAATTGTGTCTGATGGGAACATTAACAGTTATGATCAGAGTTTGAAGGCAGAACAGGAAGATTTCTTAGTTTTCTGTGTATTTTTAAAGAAGAACGTATTTGTAGAAGATTTTCACAGCTGGAAGACAAAAAAAATTTTTTCCACCACAGGCCGTGATAATAGCTGTGGTTTCATTCAAGACCAGAGAGGACTTCTCCATATCGATATATTGGTGGATGTTTATCCATAAAGCCAAAGGCGGAACACATTTTGGGGGTTTGAATATTGATATTTGTGTTAATTATTTTTGTAAGTGAATTCAGAAAACAGCAGGAAGTGAAATTAAATCGAATTAAACCCTCTGTGTCTGTTTCTCTGTCTGCAGCACAAAAGGATGGCATGATGAGCGCTGAAGAGCCAGCCTTGATCCCCCCGCAGACCAGGGAGGTCGATGTCCCGCGGATAGAAGCGTGCGGGTCCTGAAATTAAACTGAGAGCAGGAGGGTAGAGTGGAAGGCCCATAATGAGGACACAAACACAACACAAACATACACAAACACATACAAACACATACAAATACATACAAACACAAACACACGCATACATGCTCTTCTTCGGCTGATTGAACATGCAACATTTCTCGCACAAACATAACATAAAAACCCAAAATGAACTTCCACTGACTCCCAGCTCTCAGTTTCTTTCTTTCCCACCCGTCCTTCATCCAGTGGAGAGCGAGTCGGCAGAGAGAATGAAAGCCTGATCACCAATTCCCCCGCAGAGGAACCGATCAGTCTGGATGAAAAGACTCTGCTGATGAAGCTGTGCCAAATCATATATTCATGTATTCATAGACCCAATCTTTTTCACTGTGATACTTTTCAGTAAATAAAAAGAGAGAATATTTCTTGTGTTCTCTGTTTCAGGCTGCAAGCTTTTATTATCAAGGGTTTTGAAAACAGTGTGTATACAGTATGTTCACCAGATTTAGCTACAGGCCGTATCTCCATCCCCAGATAGATAGATACATAACAAGCTGATTTTTCTCTCCGTGGCTAATGTTAATTTTATAAAGCTCATTACTGTCTTAAGTCTGTCTGTCTGTCTATTGTCTGAGTGACAATGTGCAAATACCACTGCTTAATATTTAACACTTACAGGGCCCAGTTACTGATATTGGGGCTCATCTTATGCAACAGACAAATAGCGGTAGTTAGTCGATTTAACTTCTATAATTAAGGCTACAGGAATAAATATTCATATATGTAATGTTTGTGTACTTCAGAGTTGTTTCTGTTGCAGTTGGTGTTTCCTCAGAGATCTGACTGGATCATCATTAAGCTTCATGAGTAATTGGAGGGACTTCCACCTGACAGGAAATAGTCTACAGCTCTTTATTTTCAATATAATTTAGCTCCACATTTTCACTTTCTGTTTCACCTGCGCTGTCCTTTTTTAAATACCACACTACTCAGACACTCACTTAACAGAAACAATAAGCTGTAGACAATTATCTACTGTTGTGGCAGTTCAATAGAACGGACAGTTCTGAAGCATTTTCAGGTTTAAATGTATAATTGAGTATCTTCTGCATAAAGATGGTAGGAAATAGCTTTAAAATTGCTTATTATTCTGTCTCAGAGGAAGCATTTACAATCCAGACAGCATCGGGCCAAGGACAGAACCTTGGGGAACAGCACAAAACACAGAATCGGTTTAAGAGGCATAATTATGAAGATTATCCACGATTTCAGAGTTTTTGAACCATTTATTTCACCTCCGCTTACTGTCTTACCGCCACAGTTTAGCTTGTAACTAATCATCAATGTAGGTAGGCGTTACATGCATGAATGTGACACTAAAACAAAATATTACAGGAAATGCAAAAACGTTTTCAAATTACATTTCAGGAATCTTATAGTTTATGTTTAAAAAAATATATCAGTGATACATGTACCATAGTTTGAGAGTTGTGGCAGTTCAATAGAACAGACACAAACATTTTGAGGTTTGAATGTATAATTGAATATCATCTGCATAAAAATGGTAGGAGATACCTTTATTATAGAATAATAAGCTAATACCCATTTAAAAACACTTATGTCAGCTATTGTTCCTGCTTTTAGTTATTAATTTAGTTATATTTGGCCCCCAGTAACTGAATTAAATCAATTAAACAAATATCATGAAAATCAATTCAGAATTAAGCAAGTTTCAGTCAATTTTGTCGTGAAGTTTGAATCTCTCAGTCTTGTCAGCTAGTGGAATCTGACTTCCACAATATGGTGACTGCACAGACATATAGCAGAGGTCAGTGAGGTATCTATGTTTCTGTATCTATGGCAAAAACAAACACTTTTACTGACGTATCTTAATAGTTGTGGTCCGTTTCATGGCTGCAGCGCTCAGAACTGGATCAGATTCAAAACTTGTTGTCCTCTTGTTGTTAGTCACATTGACACCAAAACGTGGGGAAATAGGTTTAAAAAAGTAATTAGTTACTCATAATAAATGAAGAATACATCAAAGAGACGCGAATGATCACAGAAAGTGGATTCCAGTGCGGGTTGAAAAATAATAAAGTTACAACAGGATACATTTTCCTTATTACTCCCAACAGGTTTCGTGTTTTACTTTATATTTCTTTCTTTTCAATATGCTGATTACCTTCAATAAATGAACAGAAAGCTAACATGTGAATAAAGGCACCCATTGACTTATAACCCTTCAAACGTAAGAGGAGAGCTTGAAGGTTTATTTTTTAAATCTTTTGGGATTAAAAAGCGGATTCTGGTCCAGGTTGAAAAAAGGTAAAGTTACCATTCAACTGGTACAACAGGTTACGTTTTTCTTGTTATTCTGAACATTTTTCCCATTTTTACTTGACATTTGTTTCAAAACAACAGAAATAGCTCAAGTTTGTCATTGACAGAACCAGACTATTGATCCTCAATTTGTTGAATCCACATTATTCTCTCCACATGTCTCCAGTGTGATTGCTGCAGAGGTGAGAACTGCTGTTGTTATTGAGTTATTGCTCCTTATAAATACAGCACCAGTCGTCTGTGGACAACCATACCTGAGCTGTTTCTGTACGTACACACTCTAATTTCATCTCTTCCTCACAATAATCTCTGCGTGCATTCAATCTGTTGAACTATAACATTTGTTATGTTAACCAGGGGCTTCCTTTTCATTTGATCTAATATGTTACTTCTCTTTCCAGAAGGGTATTTCTCATTCTAAACCTCCTGCATACAAACGTGTCTGCACGTTTTGCTCAGACGTTCCCAGTGGCCCAGATGGCTCTCACAGCCCGTCTGATTAATCACCAGACGGCTGACAGCGCCCGGACGTCACAGAGGTACAAGATAGAAGACGGAGGAAGAATCCATCTGCTGAGGCTTAGCAAGGAAACACTGGGGAAAGAGAGGACTTCTTACTAAATAGACACTTGATTTGTCTTAACTCAGACACTCCTCAGCTCCACTCGAGGCTACACGAGGCTACTGAATCTCCCATTGCATTGCATTGTGGGTAATGTAGGACGTCATGTGATATTTATGTCCAATTTAAACAAGAACTTAAAGAGCTTCATTCCCAGTTCCAACACTGCTTATGGAGCCCAGAAATATTCAAATACACTAAAATAACACATTTATACTACATGCAGAAACCTGCATGTGATTATCATAACGTGTCTGCAAACAAGAGACCCACAGAAACCATTTTCATTCAGATATCTTGAGGTCAGAGGATCAAGGGATCCCTTTGAAAATAACCCAAATAAAGGTGGAATTTGGAGCATTATTTTGCCTCCCTTCCCAACATGCTTGGTACCAATGGATGCGTTAGATCATCTACTACTAGCTTTAAAACCGAGCCAGCATCAGCAGCGCAGAGATTTTGTTAGTGCAAGCCTTTACAGACGTGGAAGCCTGACCTTTCATTAAATGAGAAGACTAATTGTCTATAAGGTCAGTTTATTATTCACACATGGTGCTTTGATCCCTGTGGACTGTCAGCACTGTGGAGATTCACCACGCTGATGGATGATCCAGGTTCTTCTGTGAAACCAGCAGCAGATTCAGGACACCTTCAGAAAGGTTTCCTCACTCCAGAGGTGTGAGCTCATTCCCGGAGCTGCAGGGATTCATCTGCTCGCCTCGTGTCTCCCGCGTCTGTTTCACCTCCCGAACATCTGCACCCTACATGTGAGAGCGGAGGATATTTTTAACAAGGCTCTTCTTCACACAGATAAATTGCATTTGTCTATATGTGTGAAATAAAAGCTTACATGTTTGACTTCAGAGGCACAAAACATGGGACAACAGTTGTTGCCGCTGTTCTCTGTATTGTACCTTTTTTATATCAGCATTTGATTTTATTCTCAGGGGCTGAGAAACTATTTCAAAGAGGGTTTATTATATAAAAAAATCTTGAGAATCTCTGACTAACAGCACCACTGAAGAAGAAAATTGACTTCACTGTAAAATACTAACAATATAAACCCCTGCTGGATTTCTCTGAATTAAATTGCACTGTTTCGGAGGGTCTGCATCTTCGACAGTACAAAGGAAGTGAGTTCTGTGACATACGACTCAACATTAAGTGCAGGAAACTACAATAATTGGTGAAATTTGGTGAAATTTGTGGTGTTTGGACAAAATTGTGCAGAAATCCCAGCGATTGCTGCTTCCTGGAGGGACTATGATCTGCTCTTTTTGGCATGCTTTTCTATTTTTCTACATCTTCATCATCGATTATGTGTAAACTTTTATTGATAAATGATTTAAAAAAAGATACAGCTATTCCTGCCATCACCACGGAAGTGTGGCAGCCCAAAATCATAAACTTGAGATCAGAAAATGTCAGATAATATCTTCCCCCCGGTCTGTAAATGATTATTTACTGATTTATAAAACAATAAAACGCTTCATGCACATGCAGAAAACTCTCTTCTCCATCCTGCTGTTGGTCAGATATTTGCATTAAAAAGGGGACCAGAACATCCTCCATGATGGCGGCAGGGGAACGATTTCCAGGTCCACGCCAAACTCGACCTGGAGCGATCCATCTGAATGAGTAAAGGGGTTTCCATTAGGAGAGACCAAGTGTGTTTATAAACAAGAAACATATTTTAAAATGGACTTAAATGCATTTTTTGTTGATAACATGTTTGTATTTATGTATTTGAATATTTTACCCTTTCTGAATGGTTTGAATGACTTAATCCTTTAATATTCTCATATTTTTCAAGTAAATTGTCGTTTCCGTTCACTGGAAAGCCACAAAAACAAACACTCATCATTATTTTTCGATCTCAGCCTATTTGCTGCCCGTCCCACGCTTCACTGGACCGACTGACTTACATTTACTCCAACAGCTGCAGACTGAATGGAGACTGGTTGGTCATATCTAGCTAGGGGAGAGGATCCATCCATCCATTAAATAACGTCTGCCAGCCAATCACGTTTCATACAAACAGGAAACAACCGATGTAAACCACAAATGTATCCCTGTATGGGTAATTAACATGACCACTTAGGCATTGAAAAGCACACAAATGCTTCATGATTTCTTGTACATATTCCTGTTTGTCTATGATCACTGCTTGTTCTCTTCGTCCCACGTTGAAGATGTGATGAAAAGAGACTGGCTGGGTGGAAATACTCATTCAAAGTCAAAGTATTATCAGCAAAATGTACTCAAAGTATTAAATGAACTCATTATTGTAGCTTATAGGACATTATTAGGATTGTTAAAGGTTCCATATGTTAGATTCTGAGGCATTTTACGCGACATTTTTATATATTATTCACTTTTTATTGACAATGTGTAAACAGGTTGTAACGTAACATAAAAAATGTGACTCTTATGTGTTTCTGTGAGAACGGCGACTGGTGGCGCTATA